CACATCTAGCTGAAGTCTCCAAGGCTGCTTCCACAAGAAAACAAAACTCAGCAGCTGATGTCACCACCTACCTCCCCACAGGCACTCAGGGGCACACCCTGTCCAACCCCTGGGCCATCCCTGCAGCCAGCAAACAAGGACTAACCCAAAGCCTTGAGCCTAGGGGGCATGACACAGGCAGCCAAGGACAAGAAGGGGTTCTTGATCCTGGGAGCAGCAAGAGGAGACTTCAGCAATGGCAAGAAAGAGTCGACCAAAACAGGGATGTACTGAGTCAGGCCGGACGGGTTCTTCGCCAGGATGATGTCCAGCAGTCTGAGCGCTGCCTCTAGCTCCCCATCCAGCTGCAAGCAGAGTTGCCCAAGAGGCAGGTCAGTAGGGCCTTGCTTGCAACAGCAAGGAGCGGGCCTAGGCCTCCCAGCACTCCTCTGGCATGGGCGTGTAGCAGGGGTGGCCACTCACCTCCTGCAGCCGCCGGCGGACCTGTGCCTCCCTGTCCAGCTGGGCCTGCAGCATCTCCTTCTGCTTGCTGGTCAGCTGCACCTCCTCTTTGATGCCTTTCTTCTTTTTTATCTCCTAGTAGGGATGGGCAAACCAACCAATCCCATCTCCAGGGAACAGACCTCCCTCCCCCACAGGGAAAGCGAGCTTGCTTCCATACAAACAGCACCACACCAGCTCTAAGTCTGTGAGTTGGGCCCCTGAACCCACCATGTGCACCCCCTACCTCCCACAAAGTCCAGAGCCACCTGGTTTCTACAGAATGAAGACAGCAATAGAGAAGTAGTTTTTTTTTTCCACTGGATTCTCTACTGACAAAGCCAAAGAGGGCTTTTTATATGTTAGAGAAATAAAAAGTTCCTCAATGTACTCAAAGGGGTATTCTGACTGCCACATGGCTTCGGAATCAAAACTTTAGCCTCCTCCTCTCCAACCCCTCCCTACAGAAGCTCTCCCATAGGATAAGGTGAAGCCTAGAAAAGGCCTGCTATGGTGGCCTGAGACAGCAAGGCACAGAACTCACTCACTCATGCAGCAAACATTTAGTGAGCACCTGCACTGTGCCAGGCACTGTTCCAGATGGCAGGAATACCGTAGGGAACAAGATAAAGTCCCTGCCCTCACGGAGCTCACAATCTAGCAGGCGAAGATAGACAATAAACAAGTAAACAAACACATAAACAAGATGCTTTTGGGTTATGACAAATGTTAGTAAAGAAATGAATATGATGCTTAATAATTGGGAGGAAGGATGGGGCCTACATTGGATAGGGTGAACAGGCTGGCCACCTCTCCAAGAGGGCAAATGTGGACTGAGATATTAAAGACAAGAAGAATCCTGCCTCGTAAAGACAGAGAAGAGCATACGCTGAGACAGGAAAGAGTCCCCTGTGTGCCGCAGCTGAATTCAGGAGTCAAGCCAGGATTCCCCAGAAGTCCCATTGTATCAGGTGCTGTGCCTGCTATCAGGAATCTAGAGGGGTCCCAGCTTTCAAGGAAGTTGGGGGACAGACATGGAATCCAGCAACACCACTTAGCAGAGGAGACATGTGCACTGCTGCCAGCACCCAGCAGAGAAAGAAATCAGTTTTGAGTTATGGGTGGAAGGAGCTACTGGAGAAAGGGTCAAGGGAGAGTGCGCCAGGGCACCAGACACTGGTCAGGGGAACCAGGAGTGTGCCATGGGCCTCAGGATGATCCAAGTGAACAGCCTATGTGCAGTGGGAAAAGCCACCAGCCTGAGGCCACCAAGCTCAGCAGCCACCTCCTGCGAGTGCCTCCATGTACTCACCTCCTTCAGCTCCAGCTCAATGATCTGCTCTTTGAAGGAATATGCTTTGTTCTCTCGCTTCATATTGGCCTTTTTTATGCTGTCTTGCTGGGCACTGAAACACCAGAGCAGGTGATCAACCAGCTTGAAAAGCACCACAAGGCCTGCCTGCCTCCCACCAGCCATGAAATTCCAACTAGCTCTTAAGTACTGTGCACCAGGATAGTGCCAGACACTGGACACACTTTAGTACTCAGAACCTAAGCACCATGGCAGGGACACAGCAGGCGCTTAGACAATGAATGGATAGGCTGTTGCATTTGACCCACAGGAGGCGCTGGCTCCATCCTACATGCAAGAAAACTATGCCTTGGGGAGCAAAGGTAAATGAGCCCACAAGTGAGGTCTCACCTCTGGATGATGGATTTGTCATACAGCTCCCCAGCAGGGGTCTGCATAATGGCAAACTCCTCCCGCGTCACCAGGCGCAGTGCAGGGTTCTGCACGGAGGCGGTGATGGTGCTGATTAGCTGTGGGAGGACCCGGTCCGGGGACAGGATGGAAAGGGAGCCCATGGCGTTCATGGAGGACTGCCAGACAAACGCAGATGTGGTCAATGTGTGCCAAGGCTGGCACTGGTGAGAGGTCCACCACACCTGAATGCCCCTGGCACTGGCTCCCCTTCTTGGTGCCACTGCCTTGTTACCCCTGGGCACTGCCCATCAGAGTGGCCGGCTGGAGTCTGTGTCTGCTTTCCTCACCAAGCAGTGCCCCTTTGTCTGACAGCACCTGACATGAGGGGATACACTCCTTCCCAATTCTCAATCTTCATGGTTCAGGTGGAGCTGCCCTCACTCTTTCCAGAGATAGGTATATGACCCAGAACAGAAGGCGGGGCACCAGGATGAGCATGGCCTCCAAGTCAGATTAACCAGGGTCAAAGCGACCCCAAGCCAGTAAACATTATTGAAATATGCAAGCTTTTCCCCCTAGAGCTGATGGGGGTACAAAGCCTGAAACTCTAGTGGCTCTTGTGCTACCGGAAAGGGAAAATGCGAGAATGGAGCCCACATCATGGAAAACAAAGACAAGAGACCAAGATGGATGGGACAGAGTAAGAGAGACATTACCTACAGTGTCCCCAGGGCAATATCTGAACTCCTGTAGTCAGCATTAGCCAAAGCCAGTCATATCCTTAGACTTGGCAGGTAAATGAGGCAGTAAGTTCCCTTTTGTGCTTAAACCAGTTTATATTTCTGTCACTTGCAACCAAGGGTCCAGCCTGCATTTCATCTACCTTCACCTGCTTCTGTGAATCCTCTCTTCCCGCACCCTGTGATGAGAGGGCCCCTCCCAGACCTGAGCCCAGACCAGCTAACAAGCCCATCACCTGGTTTAGGGGACTCTGTGTGGTGATCCTAGGAATGATCTGATCCAGGTGCCTGGTGATGAAGGCGTCGGGATCGATCTTCATCCTGGCAAGAAGTGCTGGCCAAAGTCCAGACTGCACAGCCACTGAAGGGGAAGGGAGCTCTTTGAGGCCTTCTGCCTGGCCTGCTCTTACCCTGCCCCATAAAGCCTCAGGCTCTTCCACACCCACCATAGCCACAGACCTAAGGATGGGTGGTGGGAGATGATCAGCATCTCCTGGGCCAGCTGTTCGGTGTCGGTGACATCACCCTTGAGCCCTGGCACACCAGAGATGACACACAGAGCCTCCTGCAGGACCCGTGGAGGCACATACGCCTTGCCTGCCTCAGTCACCTCCCCAGCATTGGTCACCAGAGCCTCTAAGGGCAGCACCTGCATGGAGACACATGAGAACACAAAAAAACCCCACTGCTCAGAGCCCTGTGCAGGCTTGGAACACAGGAACCAAATACGCCACGGACACAACAGCCCCTCATTCAGTTCTTCTCTGGGGTCCTTGCTGGGGTGGAGATGGATGCCCAGCTTCCTGCAAAGGGACCCACCCACAGACTGTGAGATGTGCCTGGAAGAAGGAAGCACCTGTGACTCTGCATCTAAAAAGCCTACGCGGGTAAAGAAGGCAACAGAAACTGGTCCAGGAGACCCAGCCTGTGACGGCAAGTTTGCCACTGGCCCACATTCCTCAACAGGCTTAGGGAGGGAGGGGAGCCGTGGAACATGGCACAAAGAGCACAGAAATGAGAACCAGGTCTTTGGGGGTCTCCCCCCGTGGGCTGGGAGACCCTGTGCAACTCATTTGAGCTCCTGGAACCCTGGCCAATTCACATAAAATAAGAATATCAAGCCCTATTTGCCTTTGAAAGGTACTGTGAAAAAACAAAATCGAAAGAAAAAATGGAAAGAAAATGCTTTAAAAATCACAAAGTACTTTAAAAACATCAAGTGTTATTCAATTAATCAAGGATAAAGGGGCAGGGCACAGTGGCTCATGCCTATTAATCCCAATACTTTTGGGAAGCCAAGGTGGGAGGATCGCTTAAGCCTAGGAGTTCAAGACCAGCCTGGGCAACATGGCGAGACATCTACAAAAATATAAAAAATAAAAAAATTAGCCAGGCATGGTGGTATGCACCTATAGTCCCAGCAACTTGGGAGGATGAGGTGGAAGGATCACTTGAGCTTGGGAGGCAGAGGCTGCAGTCAGCAAAACAAAACAACCCCCTCCAAAAAAAAAACCTGGGAAAAAAGTAAAACTACATGTGAAAAAAAAAAGTCTCTGAAAAGGAAACGGAATTCTATGAAAGATATTACTGGAGCTTGACAGCAGAGCAGAAGATGCTAGCATCACACAGAGTAAGAAAGAACCACCAGGGAGTGGCCCAGCCCAAACCCCACAGCATAAGCAGGGACAGCTAAGTGGATCCAAGAGCCCCAGTTCTAGAGCCCAGATGCCCTCACCTTGTGAGAACTGAGGACAGTCTTCAGTTCCTCCAGGAGTCCGTGTGCCAGCTTAAAGCCCCCAAGAGAGGAGAGCAGTTTGCGAGCCGTCTGCTGAGCCTGCCTGCGGACGTGCCAGGTGCGGCTCAGGAGCACCGCCACTAGAGCCCGGTGGTACTGCCTACAAGCACAGGGACAGACAGGTATGGGGGAAGGCAGGAGGAGGGCCTTCCACAGCCAACCATTCCACCTGCCACACACCCTTTCTCGGGTTCCTGCCAGCCCTCGCCTCATTTGGCCCAAAAGAAAAGGTAAGCCAGCGTCACGTACCGAACTTTGTTGCCAGTGAGTCTATGCGGGTGGTCAAGGAAAAGTCTCTCTGTCAGGTGCAACACAGTACACAGGGCTGGGAGGGGAGAAAAAGAATGGAAGTGTTTTTAAAATAAACACACATACGTATACCCAGAAATAATAGAATAAGCTGAAAATTAACACCTAAATATAATTATCACTTGATGTGAAATTACAGCTTGCTTTTTGTTTTTTGTAGTTTTTTTTTGTTTTTGTTTTTTTTTGAGACAGAGTCGTCCTCTGACTCCCAGGCTGGAGTGCAGTGGCACAATCTTGACTCATTACAACATCCGCCTCCCAGGTTCAAGCAATTCTCCTGCCTCAGCCTCCCGAGTAGCTGAGAATACAAGCACCTGCCACCACGCCCAGCTAAGTTTTGTATTTTTAATAGAGATGGGGTTTCACCATGTTGGCCAGACTGGTCTCAAACTCGTGGCCTCAGGTGATCCACCCGTCTTGGCCTCCCAGGCTGCTGGGATTACAGGGATTACAGGCGTAAGCCACCAGGCCTGGCCTATACTTTTTTTTTTTTTTGAGGCAGAGTCTTGCTCTGTCGCCCAGGCTGGAACACAGTGGCGCAATCTCAGCTCACTACAACCTCTGCTTCCCAGGTTCAAGTGATTCTCCTGCCTCAGCCTCCAGAGTAGCTGGGATTACAGGCACCCACCACCATGCCCAGCTAATCTTTGTATTTTTAGTAGAGACGGGATTTTGGCCAGGCTGGTCTCGAACCCCTGACCTCAGGTGATCCACCTGCCTCAGCCTCCCAGAGTGCTAGGCTGGGCCCAGTGGCTCACGCCTATTATCCCAGCACTCTGGGAGTCTGAGGTAGGCAAATCATCTGAGGTTAGGAATTCAAGACCAGCCTGGCCAACATGGTGAAATCCCATCTCTACTAAAAATACAAAAATTAACTGGGTATGCGTGGTGCACGCCTATAATCCCAGCTACTAGGGAAGCTGAGGCAGGAGAATTGCTTGAACCCGGGAAGCAGAGATTGCAATGAGCAGACTGTGCCACTGCACCCCAGCCTGGGTAACAAAGCAAGACTCTGTCTC